AATCCTGGGTATCAGCAGCAGGTGAGACTAATAAAATGTACTGCAATTCTCACGTGTTTACAACAATTCGTTAAACTTCTATGATATCTCCTTCGTGCCCAAAGTTGCAGTCACAGGCTGGAATTGACTTATAATGCACTACAAGCACACATTGGACATCATAACCACTTTTTCTCTTTGAGCACCCTCGTGCCACATCTCGGTTCACTGTTAAAATGTTTAATGGTGAACTAGTCCCTTATCTGCCCATGGGACCTTCAACCTCTTCCATTTGGCTTACCCTTTGTCAACCCATGCAGTGATGAGGAGCTGTGATAGGGTGAGAGTGTCTGATGAGAGCTCTTATCAATACCTCCCATTGCATGTACAGGTTGGTATAGCTGATACAAATCCATACATGCAATAGTTTACAGTAATAGGCTAAGAGAACTCCTTAGACGCCCTAAACGCTACAAGGGTAACTCCAAGCACCTTGATCACCTTCAGTGATTTGAATTGGTCATGGTGCCTGGAGTTTTTTGTAATTCTGCAACACCGTGCAAAATGGGTGTCTGTCAGCACGCATAGCATAGTGGCACGTCCTCGCCAATCCCCCTCAATCAAAGGGGTGTGACATAATTTAAAGAGTATCGGGCTGAGTGAGAACTTGACGCTGACTGGGGAAAAGAGTTAAGCTTAAAGGACCACTATAGGCACCCAGACCACTTCAACTCAATTAAGTGGTCTGGGTGCTATGTACCCCTAGTTTTAACCCTGCAGCTGTAAACATAGCAGTTTCAGAGAAACTACTATGTTTACATTGCAGGGTTAATCCAGCCTCTAGTGGCCGTCTCCCTGACAGCCACTAGATGCGCTTCCGCGATTCTCAGTGTGAAAATCGCATTGCAATCGCACAGCATTGGTTCAGATCCCCATAGGAAAGCATTGAGTAATGCTTTCCTATGGGCAGTTTGAATGCGCACACGGCTCTGGCCGCATATGCACATTCGGCTCCACTCGGGAGCTGACATCGGAAGGGGAGGAGAGGTCACCAGCCCAGCACTGGATTAAAGTAAGTGGCTGAAGGGGTTTTAATCCCCTCCAGCCCAACAGGAGGGGGGCCTAAAAACCCTAGTTCCAGAAAACAGGTTTTCTTTCTTGGCACCTTAGTGCTCCTTTAAATGATGGTACGATTTTTTTGAGTGGGAGGGGCTGTCCAAGAACAGAAGCAATAACTACTGTCCCTGTAAAGCATCACTGTCACGCACACACACACAATATTTATAAAATATTAATTTTGACTGTGTTGGAATTTCAGTCAAGAGATCTACAGAGACAAAGTAGGGACTCTGTATTTCTCCTCCGCCTGACCTTCTTAAACTCAGGGCAGAGTCTGAGTAAACTAGCCTTTACCTGCTGTGCAAACTTCTTTCCCCACCCCCCAAACTTTGCAAATTCTGCAAAATTCCCAGATGGTGAAAGTGCTGAGTAAACCTTACTGTCCTCACCTTCCCAAGGACAGTTATCTGTTCCTGTCCCACAAACATCTGCATTGTACACAAACTGCAAACTCATTTTCCTGGTCATCGGGTGCCGTCGCCGGCTTCCCTGGAAGTGATGAGGTAATAGTGTCAGTCAGAGAAGTAGTTTTTGTAGCATTGTTTAATGTGAATTCACTTTTTATAACAAAATGGTCATCTTGAATTACATGTTAACAACGGTGAAAATGTCATGTGTTTCCTCCTCAGTACGGAGGAGGCGATGGTGGTCAGCAATGGAACCAGTATCAGAACCAAGGACCTCCTCAGAATTCTACTAAAGGTCAATCACAGGGGCAATGGAATTACAGCGGAGGTGGCTATGACCAACCAGGTCGATATGGAGGAGCACCGTGAACAACTCCACTTCCCACAAAGAGACTAAACTGCTGTCCTGTCTGGCATTGGGTCAACTCTTAATATTTACCAGAACAATAATGGATATGTTCAGGCCTTGTTTGGGATCCATAAGATTTTTTTTTTTACTGTTTTACCCTAATTTTCCATTGTCTGCGTTACCTGTGTCCTTGTGGCTGGAAGGACAGATACATGTGGGATCCATTTTAATTTGTCTAATTGATTTAAAGGGTGAAACAAAAAAATAGCTTGTGGAATATTACAACTTAATACTAATTGTCTGTTTTAAAGTTAGTTCCACACTTTGTCCTTTTGAAAAATAAACCCTTTTATCACAGTTGCATTTGCATTTAATGGTATATAAAGTGAACACCGCTTTCTTGTAGTTGTTCGTTTGACAACAGTCATCAAATATTTATATTTTTAACATTTAATGAAACAGCCAAAAACAGTATTTTAATAAATCAATTATTATGGTTGGAGTAATCCTGCTGACATGGTCCCCACTGGTTAAACAATAAATAAACGTAAAATTCCAGTCCGAAGCCTAGTTCTCCCTGCAGCCCAGTGACATGACTCCTAATGGCTGAGCCTTTATTGTTTTTTTAAGCACAGAAATTTACATTAGTCCTCTTGAAAAAGTGGAAATAGAACATAAGAACTCATTTAAAACCAAAATCTGCAAAGTGACATGGCTGCGTTAAAGGGTTATTCAAAGCATCTTAACCACTACAGCCTGCAGTACTGTACCCTGGTGCTTGTTATAACCTTTAGGGTATTGCTTCTCTTCCCCAGTTCAAAAAGCTTGGTTCTGATAGGGCACATATTACACGGGCCCAACAGCTTGCTAGACCTTGCAGGAGCCCCCTGAATGTAATGGTTAATTTACAGAGAGTAGATACAAACTTATAAAGTAAGTGACATCTGTTTGAAAATGAAATAATTTTCTTGATGCAGGCTGTTTGTCACAGCCAGGTGAGGAGTGGTTAAGGATGCATAAACCAAAACAAAAGTAATTTAAAGGGGCACTAGTCAACAGAACAACTACAGCGTATAGTCAGTCCCTGCAGGCTTTTTGTACTAAACAGTCTTTTTTCAGAGAAAATGCAGTGTTTACATTACAAAGCAAAAAAAGGTCTTAGTGGAGATATGAATTCCACCAAAAATACATAAATACGTTACATCACTGAGGTGTGTATTTAAAAATTACCCAATGCAGAAAGAGACAGATTTAAAGGAACACTATAGTCACCTAAATTACTTTAGCTAAATAAAGCAGTTTTGGTGTATAGATCATTCCCCTGCAATTTCACTGTCATTTAGGAGTTAAATCACTTTGTTTCTGTTTATGCAGCCCAAGCCACACTTCCCCTGGCTATGATTGACAGAGCCTGCATGGAAAAAAACAGATGTGTTTTACCTTAAATAATTGTATCTCAATCTCTAAATTGAACTTTAATCACATACAGGAGGCTCTTGCAGGGTCTAGCAAGCTATTAACATAGCAGGGGATAAGAAAATCTTAATTAAACAGAACTTGCAATAAAGAAAGCCTAAATAGGGCTCTCTTTACAGGAAGTGTTTATGGAAGGCTGTGCAAGTCACATGCAGGGAGGTGTGACTAGGGTTCATAAACAAAGGGATTTAACTCCTAAATGGCAGAGGATTGAGCAGTGAGGCTGCAGGGGCATGTTCTATACACCAAAACTGCTTCATTAAGCTAAAGTTGTTCAGGTGACTATAGTGTCCCTTTAATAAGTAATACCAAAAATTAGATGTAAAAGTGTGGGCGACACATTGATAAATCTCTCCTTTCTTTCATTATCCATTATTCAGTTCAGGCGCATACAGAGCCATTAATAAGACTCTATTATGGGCACTGATAAGTGTATTTTTAGACCAAAATACCCCAATTAGGAACTGGCCACTGGACTCCCAGGTGCGATGCCGCCACCGTTCGCATTCTCTGCGAATTTGGCAAAGCCCCCAGACAGTGACACTTTAAGAAACTGCACTGTAGGTTAGACTGCCCCTTTAAATTCCTGATAGTTTACAATACAGTGGATAGCAATGACTGCTTCCAAAAGAGCAATTTTACCACATGACAGGAGGCTTCGTATTTTGCATATCTCTTTACTAACTCCATACAGCAGTAAAGAAACACATAGAAAAAAAGAACCAATCACAGGAGAGCAGGATGTACATAAGGCAATGTGATCTTATCTCCTCTTTCTTTACTGCTCCATCAAGCAGACAGGTCAGAGTATTACTCTTCTCCATTACTTTGTTTCTATTGCCTCTTTGAGGTTGTTTCTGTATTATATTTTTATATACTTTATGTTCTTGCTGTGCTTCTGTGTTTTTTCTATGTTATTTCATAGATATTATGTAGATTTAACATAATCCTGATTTCATAACCTTTAGTTGTGATTAATATCACTTGTAATTTATCAGTTTTATAGGCATTTTATCCTTTGTTTTGATGTATATGTACTTTATATGTATTTAATAGATATCATATGTATTTTTATAACATGGATTTAATAGGTGTTAGCTGTAAATTTTATTATTGACTTAATAGGTTTTATGTATAGTTATGGTAGATGTACTTTATACCATATGTATCATGACTTTTCTGGCGATTTTCCTGGTCTTCTATACCTGGGGCATCTGGGGACCCTCTTTGCTCCTTCCCCCCCAGGATCTCATGGGGATTCTGGGTCTGGCTGGGGCTTAACCCCTTCCCTCCCACGGTTCCCGGGCATTAAACCCTTCGTCTGGCCTATCCGTTCAGCCCCTTCCTGCTACAATCCTCAGGGGGACGGCTGGACTCACTGCCCTCGCTCTCTCAGGCTGCCCCATACCGTACACCTGGTAATGTGCTGGATGCTTTCCAACATCCACTACTTTGGTGCAGGGCAGTCTGTGGGGCGACCACGAGGTAGCGGCCGGCCATCTTTGATCCCGCGTCTAACGAGACTCCAGGGACCATGTTCCCCCTCCTTTACCCTCGGCGGCCATCTTTAATCTCGCGAGATTATGGGCGGCCGTTTTGCAACTCTCGCCCACCACAATTTCGGCGCACGAGAGTAACATATACCTGGGCTGTCAGTTAGCCTAGCTGCTCTTGGGCTCACGATTCTCTGACACGGACGTTGGACCCCAGGGTCCCAAGTTCGAATCCAGGCAAAGGTAAGTATTCTAACTGGCCTTTTATTTACAGATTTGAGTCGTACTCATGTATAGTGGTTTGAGGTACTGGAACCTTAAAGGGATATCACCCTCAAATTCCATAAAGATACCATTCTTGGACCCTTATAGGGAACTCCTTAAAAGGATACCACTCTGTAACTACTTAAAAGGGATACCACCCTTGAATTCCGTAAAGTGATAACACCCTTGGACATAGACTATCAAGATGGTACTGTATAAGTATGGGAGATTTGAAGGGATATCACCTGGATCAGGAATCTACAGCAAGACTCTGTCTGGTAATGGATGCTCAAAGGGATGACCCCTATCTCTTAAGACTACCTGTCAGAACATGACCGACAACGGAGCTTAGAGCTAGTGCCATATCCTATTATCCCTCAGAGGTCAGTCACTTTTTGTCTCATTACTGCCATATTAGGCACTAAAAGGCTTATTACCCTGCGCCTGCATGGGGGGCTACCCCTATTACCGTGCTGCTTTTTAGAGGTAGCCCTGTGGCCACCTCTGTGATCCTGGGTGAGGCCCAGTTCTACAAATCCCAATATTGTGTTTTGCCCTGCTAGGACAATTTGACAACACTAAGTGACAGATACAGAATACCCTGCTGGGGTTATTACACATTACTGTCATTTATACAGACCCTGCTGGGGTCCACTAGCATTATTTACACTACAACAGATAACCTGCTGGGGTACCCCATATCACACACCCTGCTGGGGTTGTTTTGATACTTTGAGACAATAAATTGCACACAATAAATTTCACACTACTACACCCTGCTGGGGTCTGCATGGTGCATTGCACACAATGAAACTGATTGTGCTCTCATCCAGTCTGTTTTATTTGGATGCGACCCACGCTTGACGGGTACATACCCTGCGCACCAGAGAAACTGCTGTGTTTACAAATGGTTTAATCCTTCCTCCAATTCCTCTAGCGGCTGTCTCACTGACAGCCGCTAGAGGCGCTTACGTGATTCTCACTGTGAAAATCACAGTGAGAGCACGCAAGCGTCCATAGGAAAGCATTATAAATGCTTTCCTATGCGACCGGCTGAATGCGCGGAACAGAGGAGGAGAGTTCCCTGCCCGGCGCTGGAAAAAAGGTATGTTTTACCCCTTTCCTCTCCCCAGAGCCCGGCGGGAGGGGGACCCTGAGGGTGGGGGCACCCTCAGGACACTATAGTGCCAGGAAAACGAGTATGTTTTCCTGACACTATAGTGGTCCTTTAACTCACGTTTGTTTTTAAATTCATTCCTTTCTGTCCTATTTCCTTTTGTTTTGATTTTTTTTGCAAATCCCCTTAGTTTTTTACTGATACGAAAGATTTCAAACGCCATCTGCACAATGGGTCGGATTAAAGGCAGTGACATCATCGACCATTGCTCTGAGCTCACGTCCAGGGCGGTGACATCATCACCCTTCGCTCTGAACTCACTTCCAGGGCCGTGACATCATCACCCATCGCTCTGAGCTCACTTCCAGGGCAGTGACGTCACCACCCATCACTTTGAGATCACTTCCAGGGCAGTGACATCCTCCTCCATCACTCTGAGATCACTTCCAGGGCAGTGACATCATCCTCCATCACTCTGAGGTCACGTCCAGGGCAGTGACATCATCCTCCATCTCTCTGTTTTGGCTGCAGCAGGGCGGTGACATCCTCCATCTCTCTGTTTTGGCTGCAGCAGGGCAGTGACATCCTCCATCTCTCTGTTTTGGCTGCAGCAGGGCAGGTGACATCCTCCATCTCTCTGTTTTGGCTGCAGCAGGGCAGTGACATCATCCTCCATCTCTCTGTTTTGGCTGCAGCAGGGCAGGTAGTGACATCCTCCATCTCTCTGTTTTGGCTGCAGCAGGGCAGGTAGTGACATCCTCCATCTCTCTGTTTTGGCTGCAGCAGGGCAGTGACATCCTCCATCTCTCTGTTTTGGCTGCAGCAGGGCAGTGACATCCTCCATCTCTCTGTTTTGGCTGCAGCAGGGCAGTGACATCCTCCATCTCTCTGTTTTGGCTGCAGCAGGGCAGTGACATCCTCCATCTCTCTGTTTTGGCTGCAGCAAGGCAGTGACCTCCATCTCTATTTTTGGCTGCAGGCAGCAGTGACATCCTCCATCTTCTATTTTGCTGCAGCAAGGCAGTGACATCCTCCATCTCTGTTTTGCTGCAGCAGGGCAGTGGACATCCTCCATCTCTTGTTTTGGCTGCAGCAGGCAGTGACATCCTCCATCTCTCTCTGTTTTGGCTGCAGCAGGGCAGTGACATCCTCCATCTCTCCGTTTTGGCTGCAGCAGGGCAGTGACATCCTCCATCTCTCTGTTTTGGGTGCAGCAGGGCAGTGACATCCTCCATCTCTCTGTTTTGGCTGCAGCAGGGCAGGTGACATCCTCCATCTCTCTGTTTTGGCTGCAGCAGGGCAGGTGACATCCTCCATCTCTCTGTTTTGGCTGCAGCAGGGCAGTGACACCCTCCATCTCTCTGTTTTGGCTGCAGCAGGGCAGTGACACCCTCCATCTCTCTGTTTTGGCTGCAGCAGGGCATCCTCCATCTCTCTGTTTGGCTGCAGCAGGGCAGGCTGGTGACATCCTCCATCTCTCTGTTTTGGCTGCAGCAGGGGCGGTGACACCTCCTCCATCTCTCTGTTTTGGCTGCAGCAAGGCAGTGACATCCTCCATCTCTCTATTTTGGCTGCAGCAAGGCAGTGACATCCTCCATCTCTCTATTTTGGCTGCAGCAAGGCAGTGACATCCTCCATCTCTCTGTTTTGGCTGCAGCAGGGCAGTGACATCCTCCATCTCTCTGTTTTGGCTGCAGCAGGGCAGTGACATCCTCCATCTCTCTGTTTTGGCTGCAGCAGGGAAGGTGGCATCCTCCATCTCTCTGTTTTGGCTGCAGCAGGGCAGTGACATCCTCCATCTCTCTGTTTTGGCTGCAGCAGGGCAGTGACATCCTCCATCTCTCTGTTTTGGCTGCAGCAGGGCAGTGACATCCTCCATCTCTCTGTTTTGGCTGCAGCAGGGCAGTGACACCCTCCATCTCTCTGTTTTGGCTGCAGCAGGGCAGTGACACCCTCCATCTCTCTGTTTTGGCTGCAGCAGGGCAGTGACACCCTCCATCTCTCTGTTTTGGCTGCAGCAGGGCAGTGACATCCTCCATCTCTCTGTTTTGGCTGCAGCAGGGCAGTGACATCCTCCATCTCTCTGTTCTGGCTGCAGCAGGGCAGTGACATCCTCCATCTCTCTGTTTTGGCTGCAGCAGGGCAGTGACATCCTCCATCTCTCTGTTTTGGCTGCAGCAGGGCAGTGACATCCTCCATCTCTCTGTTTTGGCTGTAGCAGGGCAGGTGGCATCCTCCATCTCTCTGTTTTGGCTGCAGCAGGGCAGGTGACATCCTCCATCTCTCTGTTTTGGCTGCAGCAGGGCAGTGACACCCTCCATCTCTCTGTTTTGGCTGCAGCAGGGCAGTGACATCCTCCATCTCTCTGTTTTGGCTGCAGCAGGGCAGTGACATCCTCCATCTCTCTGTTTTGGCTGCAGCAGGGCAGTGACATCCTCCATCTCTCTGTTTTGGCTGCAGCAGGGCAGTGACATCCTCCATCTCTCTGTTTTGGCTGCAGCAGGGCAGGTGACATCCTCCATCTCTCTGTTTTGGCTGCAGCAGGGCAGTGACACCCTCCATCTCTCTGTTTTGGCTGCAGCAGGGCAGGTGACACCCTCCATCTCCCTGTTTTGGCTGCAGCAGGGCAGTGACACCCTCCATCTCTCTGTTTTGGCTGCAGCAGGGCAGTGACATCCTCCATCTCTCTGTTTTGGCTGCAGCAGGGCAGTGACACCCTCCATCTCTCTGTTTTGGCTGCAGCAGGGCAGTGACACCCTCCATCTCTCTGTTTTGGCTGCAGCAGGGCAGGCAGTGACAGGCTGTGGAGGGAATATAACTCAGATTGGTTCCAGCAGTTTTCCATCATCTCCCAAACAAGCCACAGCCAGTACATTGTGAGCCCCCAGATTACAATTCAAACAGCAGGAAACGGCAAATGAGAAAATAAGGAGCAGAGTGTGGGGGGGAGAACAGGAAATACCCGAATAACCCTGCTCACTGTGTGACTTACCTCTGGGAGCAGCAAGATGGCGGCCTGGGTGTACCAAGATGGCGGCGGGTGCACAGGTGGTGTACTCTCACGAGTCGAAGGTGTACCAAGATGGCGGCGTTGGAGTTTCCGGTGGGACTAGACTCTCTGTTTCCGTCAAGAGAAGACCAAGATGGCGTCGCCCAGGGCTAGTTCCCAGGATGAGAGCGGGGACTGTGTGATGGGGAGAGGTAGGTCGGTCACTCACCGTCTGGAGGAGAGGAGGGGGAGTCAGGTTTAATTAATAGATATTCTTCTGTATGTGGGGTTTATATACTGCAAGTGCCCTCAATGATTAATGATTCTGCTGTATGTGGGGTTCATATACTGGAAGTGTCCTCAATGATTAATGATTCTGCTGTATGTGGGGTTCATATACTGCAGGTGCCAATGATTGATGAAAAGTTCTGCTGTATGTGGGTTTCATGTACTACAGGTGTCAATGATTGGGTTCATATAATGTAAGTGCCCTTAATTAATAATAACTGCTGCTGTATATGAAGTTCATATACTGCAGGAGTCCTCAATGAAAGGTGCTGCTGTATGTGGCATTCAGATACTGCAGGAGTCCTCAATGATTCATGGGAAGTTCTGCTGTTAGTAGGATTCACAGTAATTAATTAAATTCGTCAGCCTGCAATATTATTATCTGTTTAAATATTTTGTCAAGAACATATAACAGCAACTAATTGACACGTAAGTACTGTTAACGCATGCAAAAGGTAAAGAGGGCACTGCAGTATGTAGAATTCATATACAGATTCCTAAATGATTAAGAAAGCATCATATTGGCCTGAAATTAATGGCCAGGAGCATAATTAACAGTTGCTAATTGTATTGTCTGTCATTTGATTGCTAAGCAGAATCCAGCCTGGAAATCTGGGCAGGAACAAGAATCATGAGTTATGGGATAACTCCAAGCACCATAAGCACCGCTGAGTGACTGGCACCCTGCCAGAGTAAGTAAACAGACTGTCGAACGGTTTTACAACTTTCCTGGATCCTCGTGCCACTTCCATTGCCGCAGGAAGCAGCTGCTGCTGAACTAAACCTGACTGCGCAGACCTAATATAATCAGCTGTCACTAAACCTGACTGCGCAGAGCTAATACAATCAGCTGTCACTAAGCCTGGCCGCGCAGAGCTAATATAATCAGCTGTCACTGAACCTGACTGCGCAGAGCTAATATAATCAGCTGTCACTGAGCCTGGCCACGCAAAGCTGCTAATAATCAGCTGTCACTAAGCCTGGCCGCGCAGAGCTAATATAATCAGCTGTCACTAAACCTGACTGCGCAGAGCTAATATAATCAGCTGTCACTAAGCCTGGCCATGCAGAGCTAATATAATCAGCTGTCACTAAGCCTGGCCGCCCAGAACTAATAATAATCAGCTGTCACTGAGCCTGGCCGCCCAGAGTTAATATAATCAGCTGTCACTAAGCCTGGCCGCCCAGAGCTAATAATAATCAGCTGTCACTGAGCCTGGCCGCCCAGAGCTAATATAATCAACTGTCACTTAGCCTGGCCGCGCAGAGCTAATATAATCAGCTGTCACTGAGCATGGCCGCGCAGAGCTAATATAATCAGCTGTCACTAAGCCTGGCCACCCAGAGTTAATATAATCAGCTGTCACTAAGCCTGGCCGCCCAGAGCTAATATAATCAGCTGTCACTAAGCCTGGCCGCCCAGAGCTAATATAATCAGCTGTCACTAAGCGTGACTGTGCAGAGCTAATATAATCAGCTGTCACTAAGCCTGACTGCGCAGAGCTAATATAATCAGCTGTCACTAAGCCTGACCGCGCAGAGCTAATATCAGCTGTCACTAAGCCAGGCCTCGCAGAGCTAATATAATCAGCTGTCACTGTGCTAAGTCTGGCCTTGCAGAGCTAATATAATCAGCTGTCACTAAGCCTGGCCGCCCAGAGCTAATATAATCAGCTGCCACTAAGCCTGACTGCGCAGAGCTAATATAATCAGCTGTCACTAATCCTGACTGCGCAGAGCTAATATAATCAGCTGTCACTAAGCCTGACTGCGCAGAGCTAATATAATCAGCTGTCACTGTGCTAAGTCTGGCCTCGCAGAGCTAATATCAGCTGTCACTGAGCCTGACTGCGCAGAGCTAATACAATCAGCTGTCACTAAGCCTGGCCTTGCAGAGCTAATACAATCAGCTGTCACTAAGCCTGGCCTTGCAGAGCTAATACAATCAGCTGTCACTAAGCCAGGCCTCGCAGAGCTAATATAATCAGCTGTCACTGTGGTAAGTCTGGCCTCACAGAGCTAATATAATCAGCTGTCACTGAGCAAGGCCGCGCAGAGCTAATATAATCAGCTGTCACTAAGCCTGACTGCGCAGAGCTAATATAATCAGCTGTCACTAAGCCTGACTGCGCAGAGCTAATATAATCAGCTGTCACTAAGCCTGACTGCGCAGAGCTAATATAATCAGCTGTCACTAAGCCTGACTGCGCAGAGCTATCAGCTGTCACTAAGCCTGACTGCGCAGAGCTAATATCAGCTGTCACTAAGCCTGACTGCGAGCTAATATCAGCTGTCACTAAGCCTGACTGCGCAGAGCTAATATCAGCTGTCACTAAGCCTGACTAAGCAGCTAATATCAGCTGTCACTAAGCCTGACTGCGCAGAGCTATCAGCTGTCACTAAGCCTGACTGCGCAGAGCTAATATCAGCTGTCACTAAGCCTGACTGCGCAGAGCCAATATCAGCTGTCACTAAGCCTGACTGCGCAGAGCTAATATCAGCTGTCACTAAGCCTGACTGCGCAGAGCTAATATCAGCTGTCACTAAGCCTGACTGCGCAGAGCTAATATCAGCTGTCACTAAGCCTGACTGCGCAGAGCTAATATCAGCTGTCACTAAGCCTGACCGCGCAGAGCTAATATCAGCTGTCACTAAGCCTGGCTTTGCAGAACTAATACAATCAGCTGTCACTAAGCCAGGCTTCGCAGAGCTAATATAATCACCTGTCACTGAGCCTGGTCGCCCAGAGCTAATATAATCAGCTGTCACTGTGCTAAGCCTGGCCGCGCAGAGCTAATATCAGCTGTTACTAAGTCTGGCCTCGCAGAACTAATATAATCAGCTGTCACTAAGCCAGGCCTCGCAGAGCTAATATAATCACCTGTCACTGAGCCTGGTCGCCCAGAGCGAATATAATCAGCTGTCACTGTGCTAAGCCTGGCCATGCAGAGCTAATATAATCAGCTGTCACTGAGCCTGGTCGCCCAGAGCTAATATAATCAGCTGTCACTAAGCCTGACTGCGCAGAGCTAATATAATCAGCTGTCACTAAGCCTGGCCACGCAGAGCTAATATAATCAGTTGTCACTGTGCTAAGTCTGGCCTCGCAGAGCTAATATAATCAGCTGTCACTAAACCTGGCCACGCAGAGCTAATAATAATTAGCTGTCACTAAGCCTAGCCGCGCAAAGCTAATATAATCTACCTACTGTTGAAAGGTGCCAGGGCTGTAGTGGTTATGGTGCTTGGAGTGTTCCTTTAATGAAAATATTTAAAAGGTATAGCTGCATTTTAAAAATGTACATAATGCTGCTACATTATGTAATAGATTTAAAACAGAAGAAAATAACCTTTATCACAGACACAACTTCCATAAAGATGCAGGAAACCAGCAGATCAAATGACAGAGTATTTTACCATTGTTGCCTGTGATTTATTGTTTATTTCCCCATTAGGGCACGTTCTCCTCTGTAATAACCCCATGTTAATTGCAGTAGCCCCTGTGCCTAAAATGTGTTAATTTTTCCATAGAAAATCCTAACCCTGAGCTGGGCATGAACCCAGTTGACAGTCCTGCAGAGCATGAAGCTGAACAGAACAATCATGGAGAGGACGACGAGGTGCTTGAGAGAGCCCTGAAAGAAGCGCAAAGGTTGGGAAGTCATAAGGATCCTGAGATTAAAGTCCCTTCAGACGTCAGTGGTCCGCTGCTTGAGATGTTCCTGCTTATCAGTGGGAGTCACATTCCCATCCGGAGCCAGCAGAAGGGGGATCCTGAATTTAGCCAGGAGCAGAAGATGGCCATGCTACTTGAACTGTATGACTCAAAACCTCTCGTGTTCCTTGAACGTTTCTGCAAGGTTCTGACGGAGGAACACTTACAGTGCTTCAGCCATCTTAAAGGAGACTACACCGCCGAATTCTACTGTAAGGAGGTCCGCAAGGCCTCTCTTAAGAAGCTGGATCACACCCGAATCCGAAACAAGAGGTACGCCGCCCTTCAGAAGCTTATAACAGGTAACCTTCATGTTAGTGCAGGTATTTTAGGAAGTAATGAAGTCAGTATCCGTGTATAGATACTCAGTATCATTATACAGAGCGGTGTGTTCATTATCAGTGTATAGATACTCAGTATCATTATATAGAGGGCGTGTTCATTATCAGTGTATAGATACTCCGTATTATTATACAGAGCGGTGTGTTCATTATCAGTATATAGATACTCAGTATCATTATACAAAGCGTCGTGTTCAGTATCAGTGTATAGATACTCAGTATCGTTATACAGAGCTGTGTGTTCATTATCAGTGTATAGATACTCAGTATCATTATACAGAGCGTCGTGTTCAGTATCAGTATATAGATACTCAATTATTATACAGAGCGGTGTGTTCATTATCAGTGTATAGATACTCCGTATTATTATACAGAGCGGTGTGTTCATTATCAGTGTATAGATACTCCGTATTATTATAGGAAAGGGTTTGTTCATTATCAGTGTAATGCTGTTAATTATCTGTATATAGACTCTTACTCATTCTATTAATATCAGCAGTCCCTGTCATTGTATAGCTACTCTGTATCATTATATATTGTGCTTTGCACATGCAGCGGGGGAATATTTCAGCGATGAGCAGATGCGGGAGCGAGACCCTCTCATGTACGAGCACTATATCGGCCAGTATCAGAGCGAGGAGGAGATCATGTCCCAGAACAGGAAGGACATGTCACAGGCCACCTGCCTGTCCGATGTCCTTCTCGATTCCTGCCAGGAGGAGGCACTGCAGAGGAGGCTTGAAGCCCAGAGGCAGCTGGAAGACGATTGTATGGAGGAGGAGGAGGATGAAGATGAAGAGGATGAGAAGGAAGGTATTGAAGATCTCATTGTGCTTTCAAGAAATCTTGTGTTTCAAAAAACAATACTTTCATATATCTTTTAATCAATCCCATATTTATCAGTTTTGCTAGTCCCTGCATCAGCCTCCTGTATGTAATTAAACTTCAATTTACAGAGCAGGAGATAACTTCTAAAGTAAACATACTGTGCTGTAACATCTGATTGAAAATACTTATTTTTAATGCAGTCTGTTTCCGTCACAGTCGTGGTGTTGGACTAGGGCTGCATAAACATAAACAAAAGTGATTTAACTCCTTAAGGGCAGTGAATTGAACAGTGAGAGTGCGGAGACATGATCTATACACCAAAACTGCTTTATTAAAGGGTAATTATAGTGCAAAGTTGTTTTCCTAGCACTATATACCCCTGTCCCTCGCGCCCAATCCCCCCCAATAAGGGGTTTTAATCCTACTAAACACAAAACATAACGTTTATTACGATTGTCATTAAAATTTCTCACTAAAGTTGTTTTGGTGCCAAGAGTTTCCCTTTAGCTCAGGATGTACAGGGTTATTTACAAAAGTGAAAATCCAAAGTAAATTTCAAATTTAAGGCCAAAGTAGTCGAACTTGGACCACAACTGAGGGGGGGAATTCTTTTGGTTTTACTATTTTGGCCTTAAATGGGAATTCCCAATAATCCTCCCTTTAGTAAATGACCCTGTTGGTGTCCTTTCTGTAAGACTGTCAGGAGCTAAATCTGCTCAGACTGCTCGCCGCATGCCTGATGTTTTGCAATAAAGGGGCAGGTCAGCATTTTATCTGCCCAGGGATCCTGAAATAAACCCAGTGCTGTGCAGTCAGAACACAAACTGCAGGGCTGCCACACACTATTCAGATTATTTACTGCTAACCTTCTGTGCTCTATCATAGAGTCAGAGCTTCAGTCAGATGGAGAGCAAGCCATGGACAGTGAGGAGAGAGCTCTCATGAGAGAAGAATTCATCAGTCGCATGCACCAGAGATTCCTGGATGGAATGGATCGAGACTTTGACTATAGGTACTTACAAACTCATAGCTCCTTCTGTCTGTGTCACCCTGCAGTGGGAGGAACAGACTCCGTGTCCCATAACTCCTTCTGTCTGTGTCACCCTGCAGCGGGAGGGACAGACTCCGTGTCCCATAGCTCGCTTCGGTCTGTGTCACCCTGCAGTGGGAGGGAGAGACTCCTTGTCCCATAGCTCCTTCTGTCTGTGTCACCCTGCAGTGGGAGGGACAGACGCTGTGTCCCAAAGCTCCTTCTGTCCTCGTCACCCTGCAGTGGGAGGGAAATACTCTGTGTCCCATAGCTCCCTCTGTCTGTGTCACCCTGCAGTGAGAGGGACAGACTGTGTGTCCCCCATAGCTCCTTCTGTCTGTGTCACCCTGCAGTGGGAGGGACAGACTGTTTGTCCCATAGCTCCTTCTGTCTGTGTCACCCTGCAGTGGGAGGGACAGACTCCGTGTCCCATAGCTCCTTCTGTCTGTGTCACCCTGCAGTGGGAGGGACAGACTCTGTATCCCATAGCTACCTTCTGTCTGTGTCACCCTGCAGTGGGAGGGACAGACTCCGTGTCCCATAGCTCCTTCTGTCTGTGTCACCCTGCAGTGGGAGGGACAGACTCCGTGTCCCATAGCTCCTTCTGTCTGTGTCACCCTGCAGTGGGAGGGACAGACTCCGTGTCCCATAGCTCCTTCTGTCTGTGTCACCCTGCAGTGGGAGGGACAGACTCTGTGTCCCGTAGCTACCTTCTGTCTGTGTCACCCTGCACTGGGAGGGAATGACTCCGTGTCCCATAGCTACCTTCTGTCTGTGTCACCCTGCAGTGGGAGGGACAGACTCTGTGTCCCATAGCTACCTTCTGTCTGTGTCACCCTGCAGTGGGAGGGAAAGACTCTGTATTGAAAGTGCTTGTTGTTTTTTTATTACATATATTTTATGATTATTGTTATTACAGTTATATTCTTTTTTTTCTGACAGTGAAGTTGATGAGAACCCAGATTTTGATAACCTGGATATTGTCACACATGATGAGGAAGAGCGATACTTTGATGATAATGATGATGATGATGATATGGAAGCCACAGAAACCGAGGTGGAAGAAAAGGGGGTAAAAGAGTGACTAATTAGACCTCCGCACTTGTTCCTTTCACATTGTGCTCTGAACATGGCGTAATGTGCACGCCACGCCGTTATTCTCCCTGGAGTCATCCAGCGGCTTTTCTACCAAGGGTTTCCACAGTAAGACCACTCAGTGAACCTGCCCTGTCTGAGTGCTTTACAGACCATGTCCACTAGAGGTCAGCAGGGTCCCAAACCTCAAGAGTTCATTCACTGGAAACGCATCTGACACAAAAATAAAGACTGTTTAATGGCTGCAGATATAGGGTGTAACATGGACACCACAAAAACCTTCTCAGGATGTGACACATAAGCTAGCATCGTGGAGCAGGAGGTATTTGTCCCTTTATAATTCTATAGAAAGACAATGTGCGTGCCAGCGTTCTACATTAGAACTGTGACCAGTTGATCAGAGCGTTTTCCTAAATCTCGTGTCACTGACCGCCTTCAAGCCATGCGGCTTGTGACGTGAATACGTTGAGCATCCCTCTCCATGTTTCACAGCATAGTCTGTTTACACTGGGGTTTCCTTTTTAATAAACAGCCAGCCGTATTGAATTTAACATACAGGATAAAGTCGCCAAGCTGTATCTATAGTGAGTTGGAGGATTTTTCTGCTCATTTTCCCAGTGTCTCTTGCTTATTGTTTACTGACCCCAGAGTATATTGAATCTTGCCGATAAGCTCCGATATTTGTCATTATCTAGTTTGCGCTCATTTTCCTTCCATTTCATTTCTTGAGGAACATGTGGAGTCACTTGTAACGTAATGATTGAATGGCGGCTGACATTGAATAGGCACCTTTCACACAAAATAACCACACTTTCCCATGATCCTCTGCAACAAAATGTCTCCCGTGTGCTGGTTTTGCAGACACACTTTCCGCAGGATTGTAAGAATAGAAGTTTGTTTTAAATAATCCTACCCTCCGGATTGTTAACTTGTTTCCCTGCATCATTATGCACAGCTTCCTGCCCGTCTGTATTTTTAGTTTAAATTAGAGTCAAAGAATAGGCACCAATCTAATTCCTTGTACATTATTTGGGTTAAAAAAAAGTATCCTTTTTTTTTTTTTTCTCTTCCTTTTTTTTTTCATACGAAGCTAGTAACTTTAGGATGTAGTCTAATAAAACCAAAATGTGTTAGTTAAATCTCGCCTTAATAATATAAAAACCTTTTCCTACCTGCCATGACCATTGAGAGCTGGCTGGTTAACCTAGATGTTTGTGGAATACGCTTCCGATAATGCACAGCTATTCCAGGAATATCTGGGATTGCCGTCTCTGTTCTGTAGAGACTAGAGACTGTGTGTTCGTCTCAGTTTATGGTTAAGAAACCAGAATCTCTGTAAGATGAGCCCATTTTGGGGATTTTTCCTTTTGTGAAACTTTTCAATATGCATTTAACTAAATAAGAAAGATGGATGCTATTAAATAAATGCTTATATATTTGTTAGCTTGTTTCTGAATGTTTTCTGCAAGGATTTCTTTAAGTTTTTACATTCGATTAAAATGTTATATTTTGTACAGATGAATACATATTTTCTAAAATTAGAATATATTAAAAAAAAAAATAAAAAATGGTCTTGGCGATGGGGGAGATATGATCGGTTAATGGAAAGGCTTATAAATACCTCGGACTGCAGATCTTAATGCATTTTTTACTAACCAGAAATGTGCTCTTGAATGATTTTCGTGTAAATGTCAGGGTTTGTACCGGCTGCCCAGGAGCTTGACACTGGCATTTTATTAATTATTTTGCACGGACTGAACCCCGGCAAGCTGTCAGCGCAGACTAACTGGCTGGAACCAGGGCCGGACTGGGGAAATATATTGGTCCCCCAATAAGAGGGAGCGTGGTGTGTCTTGACATCCTCAATGGCACGTTTAAAGTGAGCTTGTTACTTTGATGCCCCATTAGGTCATCCCTCTGCTAAATAACTTTCATATGGGGAAAATTGCAAATGTAATGAAAAGCATGCGCTGTGTTAACTGGTGAATTATCTCTGGTGTTCCCATAAGTAGGATACCATGGGACAAAAGTAGGACAGCACTGATAAATGGTAAAACCCCCCAAAAAAAGTTACCTGCGCTCTCTCCCAAATCCCTATGTATATTTAACGTGGCAGGCGGGCATTCCCTCCAATGGCCATTGGAGTAAGTAAATAACCTCCATTTGTTTTAATATACAGAGGGATTTGGGAGAGAGCGCAGGTAACTTTTTTTCTTTGGTTTTTACTGTATGTATTGGGGCTGATGAGTACCATGGTCGTTGCTGCCACCCAGGAGTGATGGGAGTTTGAGCGCAGGACTTTTGTTTTGTACTGGTAAATGATGTTGTACTTGTGTGGCAGGGTGCTTGTGGAATGCGTGTGCGCAGTGGTGGCTGTTTGTGGTATAGTGTGTGTAAAGGGATCTGTTTGTGGTGTACTAGTTCAATGTCACCGAATGGCATTCTGTTTAACTATTCACCATATTAATGTTACTGAAAGGCGTTCTATGTGACAATCCACTGGTTCAATGTCACCAGATGGTGTTCTATATGTCTGTCCACCGGTTCAAGGATATCGAATGGTGTTGTTTGTGACTATCCACCAGTTCAATATTACCGAATGACGTTCTATGTAATTATCCACGGGTTCAATGTTACCGAATAGCGTTCTATGTAACTATCCACGGGTTCAATGTTACCGAATAGCGTTCTATGTAACTATCCACGGGTTCAATGTTACCGAATAGCGTTCTATGTGACTAACCATGGGTTCAATGTTACCGAATAGCGTTCTATGTAACTATCCACGGGTTCAATGTTACCGAATAGCGTTCTATGTAACTATCCATGGGTTCAATGTTACTGAATAGCGTTCTATGTAACTATCCACGGGTTCAATGTTACCAAATAGCATTCTATGTGACAATCCACCCGTTCAATGGTACCAAATAGCATTCTATGTGACTATCCACCGTTTCAATATCATCGAATGGCGTTCTATGTGACTATCCACAGGTTCAATGCTACCGAATGGCGTACTATGTGACTATCCACAGGTTCAGTGGTACCAAATAGCATTCTATGTGACTATCCACGGGTTCAATGTTACCGAATAGCGTTCTATGTAACTATCCACGGGTTCAATGTTACCGACTAGCGTTCTATGTGACAATCCACCCGTTCAATGTCACAGAGAGGCATGCTATGTGACTATCCACCGGTTCAATATCATCGAATGGCGTTTTATGTGACTATCCACAGGTTCAATGCTACCGAATGGCGTTCTATGTGACTATCCACGGGTTCAATGTTACCGAATGGCGTACTATGTGACTTTCAATGGTACCAAATAGCATTCTATGTGACTATCCACCGGTTTGCTGTCATTGTTGGAGAAGCTGTTGGCCCCCTGGCCCTGACTTTGCCATCAATATACCACATGGTGAATTTATAAGGTCATATCTAAGCATTCTGTAACTATCCACGGGTTCAATGTTACCGACTAGCGTTCTATGTGACAATCCACCCGTTCAATGTCACAGAGAGGCATGCTATGTGACTATCCACCGGTTCAATATCATCGAATGGCGTTTTATGTGACTATCCACAGGTTCAATGCTACCGAATGGCGTTCTATGTGACTATCCACGGGTTCAATGTTACCGAATGGCGTACTATGTGACTTTCAATGGTACCAAATAGCATTCTATGTGACTATCCACCGGTTTGCTGTCATTGTTGGAGAAGCTGTTGGGCCCCTGGCCCTGACTTTGCCATCAATATACCACATGGTGAATTTATAAGGTCATATCTAAGCATTCTGGTTTGAGCTGGATGGGGTTTATGGATCCGTATGTGGTGCCAGACGCCAGTGAGCTCTGTGCTTTGCAGGGTGTGTAATATCTCGGTGGTCTTGATCTGCTCCCACAAAGTACTTAGGAAGCTCTGAGTGTCACTAAGGAAAGCCACCGTTTGATGACAAATCCATGGTTTGTGTCAATGTTGTTCCGCGTGGGGGAAACCCAGCAATCATTGTCTCGTAATAACACACTTTGCAATAAATATAGCTTTGGGTGAGGCAGTAAATTCCATACTGTCATTGCTGATATAATTACCTTCTGCTGAGCTCAAGCTCTGTACTGGGATCTCTTCAAAATTCAGGATTTAAACCAAATAACGTTACCTGTGCTCTGTACCTTCAAAAGCTTTATACTACCCCTGCAATGGTCATTACAATCAAAACTTTCCTGATATTGGCATGTGAGCTTACACTTTAATTCCCTTTGCAGAAGTACCAAAATGTGGGAAATGTAAAGCTAGTATGGCTGTACGTAATTATAGTTATTAGATAAATCATTAAGCTACAACATTTTGAGGAAATAATTTTTAATTTTTTTTAATTAGGGATAACCGTGCAAAATCTTCAAAATGCTTTGATTTGGGCCTCGAATGGCCCTTAGATGGAGCTGATCTCAATGTCATGGTATAATGTAGTGCTACAGCGGTTAACATGGTGTAACATAGGGTAATACGCTCTGCACTCTGCGTCGTATAACACCGTGTAATATATCGGGTAAAACGTTCTGGGCCGTGCAAGAGAGAAAATATGCTGTGTACCTGCCAGTAGAGGATTCTAGAATCCAGCATTTCACTGTAAATATCTGTTACTAAGCGTCAGTGTCCGTTTCTGATTGTGCACCATGCTTGGTGCCCAGTGATTGGGGGTCTCTGAGGCTGAGAGCGGTGTCATACCCCAGTGATAGGGGGTCTCTGAAACTGAGAGGGAATACATCCCAGTAATAGGGGGTCTCTGAAACTGAGAGGTATCACATCCCAGTAATAGGAGGTCTCTGAAACGAAGAGGTATCACATCCCAGTAATAGGGGGTCTCTGAAACGAAGAGGTATCACATCCCAGTAATAGGTGGTCTTTGAGACTGAGCGGTGTCATACCCCAGTGAACAGGGGGTCTCTGAGACTGATGGCAACTTGAATCGAACACCAGAGAAAGTCTTTAAGGAATAGGATTTATTGCTTGGTGGGGTCCTCATTGGTCAGAAGCACCGTTTACCTGACCAAACACTATGGGCCATTAGTTTAGGTAAAAATGTCGGTTCATATTTCGGATGGTTGACATGTGAGGCCAGACTAACTCTTCATTACCTGCATGAGTTTCGGTCAGAAAGGCTGTTGACCCGAGAGGCCGTCCCTAGAGGGAAGCTGAGTTTATCAGCACACATTACAAAATAATCCACAGTGCGGCTATATTACATTGAAATAATAAAATAGGGTCAATTTTACTTTAAATAAAAGAAATTTGGGGATCCTATAAACGTATAATGCAGCAAAAAAATTTGGGTTACAAAGTCTAACTGGGGTAACTTGGCTTATGAGGGTGCGGTCTGTATATAGTGAATAGAGAGCGGGGGGATTATAGTGTCACACCGCACGCTGTCACGTCAGCCCAATTATAACTGCTACACCTCTCCCTGCGGCAGGAAGGAAGGAATCCGCGGAATCTCACTTATTTCTCCCCAGGCGGATAATTCCATATTTACATTATTAAATTTTTTTGTAGAGCAGGTTTCACAATTTGGAAATTATTTAATTACCGTTGGATATACCTGGCTGTGAAACCATCCTCTTCAATGAGAAATGTCACCACGAAATGAAGCATTGTGAGACGGGGCCACAAGTGTCAGGAGTGGGCTCTCAACCACTTCTTGTGTGCGTCCAAACTGGCTGAAACTACCTGTTTTGATACGTGGAATAGCCTTGCAACAGGAGCAATAACAGTGATACAGAAAGGGTAGTAGATACCTGGAATAACCTTCCAGTGGGAGCAGTAACAGTGATTATAGAAAGGGTAGTAGATACCTGGAATAGCCTTCCAGTGGGAGCAATAACAGTGATATAGAAAGGTTAGTAGATACCAGGAATAGCCTTCCAGTGGGAGCAGTAACAGTGATACAGAAAGGGTAGTAGATACCTGGTATAACCTTCCAGTGGGAGCAGTAAAGGCTAACAGTGATATAGAAAGGGTAGTAGATACCTGGTATAGCCTTCCAGTGGAGTGTGCCATGCTGTTTGTTTACAGAATTGTGGACCGAAGTGTGTCTATCAGATATCAGGGTGTTACAGTGTGTGTGTATTCGATATTGGGATGTCTATCAGATTTCGGGGAGTCTTTCAGATATCCGGGTGTTACATTGCGTCTGTCAGATATTGGGATGTCTGTCAGATTTCGAAGTGTTACAGTGTGTCTATCAGATTTCGGGGTGTTATAGTGTGTCTGTCAAATATTGGGATGTCTGTCAGATATTGAGGTGTCTGTCAGATTTCTGGGTGTTACGGTGTGTCTGTCAGATTTGGGGGTGTCTGTCAGATTTTGGGGTGTTACAGTGTGTCTATCAGATATTAGGGATGTCTGTCAGATTTTGGGGTGTTACAGTGTCTGTCAGATTTCGGGGTGTTACAGTGTGTGTTTATCAGATATTGCTATGTCTGTCAGATTTTGGGGTGTTACATTGTGTCTATCAGATATTGTGATGTCTGTCAGATTTTTGGGGTGTTACATTGTGTCTATCAGATTTAAGGGTGTCTGTCAGATTTTGGGGTGTTACATTGTGTCTATCAGATATTGGGATGTCTGTCAGATTTCGGGGTATTATAGTGTGTCTATCAGATATTGCCATGTCTGTCAGATTTTGGGGTGTCACAGTGTGTCTATCAGATTTCAAGGTGTCTGTCAGATTTCGGGGTATTACAGTGTGTCTATCAGATATTGGGATGTCTGTCAGATTTCGGGGTGTTACAGTGTGTCTATCAGATATTGGGATGTCTGTCAGATTTCGGGGTGTTACAGTGTGTCTATCAGATATTGGGATGTCTGTCAGATTTTGGGGTGTTACATTGTCTCTATCAGATATTGGGATGTCTGTCAGATTTCGGGGTGTTACAGTGTGTCTATCAGATTTTGGGGTGTCACAGTGTGTCTATCAGATTTCAAGGTGTCTGTCAGATTTGGGGGTGTTACAGTGTGTCTATTAGATATTGCGATGTCTTTCAGATTTTGTGGTGGTACAGTGTGTCTATCAGATATTGGGATGTCTGTCAGATTTCGGGGTGTTAGTGTGTCTATCAGATATTGGGATGTCTGTCAGATTTCGGGGTGTTAGTGTGTCTATCAGATATTGGGATGTCTGTCAGATTTCGGGGTGTTACATTGTCTCTATCAGATATTGGGATGTCTGTCAGATTTCGGGGTGTTACAGTGTGTCTATCAGATTTCGGGGTGTCTTTCAGAATTCGAGAGATTTAATAATGTAACTTTTTCTCTGGTTCTGTTAGATTTTTCCCACGACGGTTATAATTTATTACAGTGTTTGTGGGCAGCGTGCTGGGATACTGCAGTGTCTGCTCTACATCCCACGGAATGGCGGAGTCTATTCTAAATATACAGAGATTGGGACCACCAGGGAGAAACCAACCCACCCTCCCACATCATGACATCATAGCCGGCCAAGTCAGCGAGGATTCACAAGGTGGGGGTTCTGAAAACGGAAAAGCTACTTCAAAGGAAAAAGTCAGCCAGCAACAATGTAACTGTACCCAGCGTTACTCATTGCCTTAAAGGGGAAGCACCACCATTTCTTGAAATGTATATTTAATAAGTGTCACTGCTTGTCTAGCCGCCTGTAACTGATATGAAATAAACCACCATTTACATCATTCTGTTTATTATATATGTATTAACAACCATTTATATCAATCCGTTTATTATATGTGTAATAACCACCATTATTATCATTCTGTTTATTATATATGTATTAACCACCCTTTATATCATTCCGTTTCTTATATATGTATTAACAACCGTTTATATCATTCTGTTTATTATATATGTATTAACAATCCTTTGTATCATTCCGGGGGTTGTAGACTGACTTATTATGAGTATTACCACGGTCACTGTTCCCTGAATGAGGTATAGGTGGATGGAAATCGGAGCCTGAAGATGGGCCTGCTATGTTGGCCAATTCCAGGATCTCAAGTCTATTGTTAATAGCGTTGATGGAGTTTGAGATCGATGCCATCTTAGTATGTAAGTCCGTTAAACTGCGTTGGACTGATCCTTCATCATTGGGCCCAGGTGTTGCTGTGTATCTATGTGACCTCATCAATTTGAATGACTCATCTTTCTTAGCATTGGCTGGGTATGCTATATTTTTATTATTATGGGATAGTCTAGCATATTATAGTACTGGGGCTTGCTTAGTCTACTGGTCTGTTTGGAGACTTGTTCCTAGCCGGAGTACAAGGCAACAAAAGTTCATTGCGTTGGGCAGATTCGGTTGATATTCTAAGTAATGGAAATTGAGAAAGGTGTAATGAGAATCGAGAGATCTCGACTATATGAAAAAACTGTGTGAACTGGCTAACTAGTGCCAAATGGCGAAATCATATTATTAGATGGTGGCGGGTGAGACCTATCTAAATGCCAAGTGCCGAGAGAGGCTCTAAGTATGAATGTGGGCCATAAGGAATTGTATTTGCCACTAGCATCATGGAGGGGAGCTGGCTTTTCGGTGACAAGAAGTGTCAAGACAGAATGGGTGTGACTTGTAAATTTATGCAAGGCGTTGGATGCTACCTATGCAAGGGAGTTGGCTGTTGGGGACAACTAGATATGGGGGAGAAGCTTAGGAATGTATTATGCTATTTGAGCTTACAGTCACCAGTATGCCAGTTCACCTTACTGAACCTGCGTAGCGGGAATGTATAAACGACTTAATGAAGAATATTTGCAAGCTCATCTTGAACAAAGGTAGCATGGCGCGAGTATAGATAAGTTTGGAGTAGGTAAGATATACCTAAATGAAAACATATGAAGCAATATTACACAAGGGACTAATATCATGCCCCATGGCCTTCTATTAGAAATAAGTGTACCAGTACATACTTTCCTATAACTTTCTAGGACTTTGAAAACGTTTTGTCCAAATTTTGGGACAAGACCTACAGTTAATGACATAATTGACAGTTTGTTAGAGGAAAGGTTGATAAATTATACAGTTGTTGAAGGCCTAGATGAATCTAAGATTACAAAATTACTCCTAACAACTGAGTGAAACAGCCTAATATGTATCTAGGGATAATTAGTTCACCGGGCACCAGATTCTCAAGGTTGTGAGAGTTCGTGGGTTGTGCCTAAAACAAAAGACAAACTGGCGTAATTCGTACAAAGACAAACAAATGTCAGAATATATGTAAATACACGTGATGTACCAAACAATGACCAAATCTCTGCTGTTGGGGATATTTCCCTTGCTATTGTAGCTTAATTCTTCTATTTAGTATGCCAACAGATAACCTGACATGACCAAGTAATAATAACATTAGACATTACAATAATAACATTACGAAAAAAATTGTTGTAAATCCTTCAAAATCGTGACCCATAGATGTAGCAAATTAATATTTTATTTAGACATTTTATATTTTTTAGACAGTTTTTTTACATTTATAATTATTGGCCACTAGATGGTTCTCTTACGCAACTTCCCATATGTTAGTGTGAGGGAGTGCAGGGATAAGAGTGGACATGGAGCCGACTGTTTCTGTAAGTGGAAGTATACTAACATGTGGCCGAATGCGGGCCTATTTGCAGTGATGAGAGGCCTTAAAGGCCCAATACCTTAAAGGACCACTATAGGCACCCAGACCACTGCAGCTCAATGAAGTGGTCTGGGTGCGTGATCCAGCTAGGTTTAACCCCTTTTTTTTTTTTTTTTTTAAATAAACATAGCAGTTTCAGAGAAACTGCTATGTTTATAATAGGGTTAATCCAGCCTCTAGTGGCTGTGTCTTTGACAGCTGCTAGAGGGCTTCCGCGCTTCTCACTGATTTTCACAGTGAGAAGACGCCAGCGTCCATAGGAAAGCATTGTGAATGGACTGGCTGAATGCGCACGCGGCTCTTGCCGCGCATGCGCATTCAGCCGGTGGCAGAAGAAGAGGGAGGAGAGGAGGAGGAGAGGTCCCCGCCCGGCGCTGAAGCAAGAGGTAAGTTTAACCCCTTCCTCCCCCCAGAGCCCGGCTGTAGGGGGTCCCTGAGGGTGGGGGCACCCTCAGGGCACTATAGTGCCAGGAAAACGAGTGTTTTCCTGGCACTATAGTGGTCCTTTAACATTCAGTAAACTTGCACGCCCTATACGTATAGACAAAGACTGAACTATATAATACCATGTGGCCTAACGTGGTCTGTTCAGACCGATCAGAGGCCAAATTTACATTGCTTTGTGGTCGAACGTGGCCCATTTGATGCGATAAAAAACCCGTGCCAAGGTCAAATCCACCACACTATGTGGCTGAATGCAGCCTATCTGTAACAACGGAAAGCCATACAATGGTAATAACATAAAACACTGTGTGACCTATTCGCAACCAGAGATGGCTGAATGCACTCTGTTCGCAATGATTAAGAGTTGCTCTGCAACTATATACAATACAATGGGGCTTGTCTTGTTCGCTAAGTGGACTGAATAACATGGGACCTTATACATGCAATGCTTATACAACTGTTAATACTACAAATTATGTGGTCCAAACACTGAGTATGTAAGAATAAGAGAGAGGCCGAACCACCGCCCAGGTGTACGCTAAATAAAGCCAGACACGGCCTAACAAATAAACGTGAGTGTTTGGCCTTAAGACAAGTAGCATGCTGGGTGCCAAACGAGCTGCTTGTCTTTCCTCACTGTTAGGAGGGAGTCAGATCGTAATTTTGCGCTCCCTGTTATATGATCGAGTGTGGTTACTCCAAGGTTGACTTTAAAAAATCATGTAATGCTTGAATGTGTATTCGCAAATGTAATGCCATCGCTGGGTTCCAGGAGACATCACACTCAGTCTGGCAGAACGACTCATACGTGTCGTCAGGGTATCCTAAGGATCAGGATTGAGCATTGGCAAACGTGGCCCAGCATGACGTTGGTACCGCCTTCATACATGCTGCCACAAGCACGCCCATCCCAGGAAACGCACTCATTTGTGTTCTGAGCCATAGTTTACATTACTGAAAAAAAAGGAAATTGTAAACAGCCAGACTATTGAAATTCGAATGCCTGCGGTCATCCGATCTGTAATATGCATAACCTTATTTAACTAGGGTGGCAGGTGCCACAAATGGCGGAAATAGCAACAAGGATTTCATGAATTATTGCGTTGTTTAAAAGTTTTAAATTGATTTATTCAACAAACACAATTTTTTTGTGAATTGAAAACTCATTTGTGATACTGAGACAAAAAATAATTTTTGAATAAAATCTTCAGCACAGGTACCGTCGCAGATTTGTTAGATTTCCGATGTCAGTGCTGAACTCTCGCGCATACAGCTTGTTGAGGTAACACGCAGCCCCTGGAGATATCAATCGGCTCATGGAGGTGTCACTCAGCCTGTGGAGGTGGCACGCAAGCCGTGGAGGTGACACGCAGCTCAAGGCTGTGATGATGTCACATTTTGAGACATTATGATGAATGTTAAGTTTTTGTGATGGTTTGAGACCCACTTTCATAGATGATTCAAACTATTTACACCCAAAGCCAGCAAATTGTGACGCAGTCTGCATTATTCTCAACACATTGAGCTGACTGGAAATGTAACTGAAAAATTCAGAAGAAAGTCAGATTTAAAAAAATTCTTCAGCTTCCGTATTGTGACAGTATGCAACCTAAATGTGTTACTTCAATGCAATATTCAATATATAATGACCAGTAGACCTATTTACTAAAGTGAGACATGTTAAGAATTCAAGGCAAATTTCAAATTAAAGGAACATTATAGGCACCCAGACCACCTCAGCTCGTTAAAGTGGTCTGGGTGCAGTGTCCCTTAACCCTGCAAAGGTACCTATTGCAATTCTAATAAACTGCAATGATTACCTTTGAGGGTTAACTCCATCTCTAGTGCCCGTCTACCAGCCATTAGAGGGACTTCCGGGTCGTTACGCGACTTTTTGTCAATAAACTGACGCTGGACCTCCTCACACTCTGCATGAGGGCATCCAGCGTTATATAAAACCGCATAGGAAATCATTATATACTTTCCAATGGGAGAAATACTAATGCGAGCGTGGCCATTGCCGACGTCGGCAGGGAAGGAGCGCAGGCGGAGCCCGAATCAGCGCAGAGGGACATCGGTGCTGGACTCAGGTAAGTTACAGAAGGGGTTTTTAACTTTGTTTTCCTGGCGCTGTAGTTTCCTTTTAAGGGCAAAGTAGTCAGACTGGGAGTATAGCTGACTATTTTGGATTTAAACTTGAAATTCCCCTTGAACCTTTGACAATTTGCACATTAGTAAATAACTCTGTGTGTTGCAATGGAATTGGCGCTATTGATGTAACACTAATATTCACCAGGTGGAGGAGAAACAGAGATCAGTAGGTCCTTAATGCTTTCTCATCATCCAGAAAATGTTATTGTGTTCTTTGCCAACCTTCCCCTTTTTCTGTTAAAATTAAAATGTTTAGCTTTTTGGGGTTTTTTATGTTTGTGGTCTGGCAGCCTGTGTACCACCAGGGGCTCCTAGTTCCTGAGAGTCACACGGTTGCAGCACCTGGTCATAGGTTGTTGTAAATTCCCAGCCACAGCGAATACCATTCTTTTAGAGGCCTTCAGGCTGGATTCTGGTTTCACTGAACTTTATGCATGAATTCCATCTTTACATGTGTCGTCCTGCGAATTCATAGTTCCTAATATCCTCAGACTTCCATGTGCTCATCTCAAAGTCCTTGACAGGCTACCGATTCTGTTCTTCTGTATAATATAGTCATGTTCTATATAAAGATTTCAATCTAAGGCTTGGGTTAGTCTGTCTGCTGTTTAGAGGGGACAGCGTGATGAACAAAATAATTTTTACAAGTCACTTTTTCAATTAACTGAAGAATACGATGAGAAGGCTTAACTGGGGTAAAGAACAGAAAAACTCAACTTTGACAGTCATCTTTGTCACAACTTTCCTTCAAGATTTTGGTTAGCTGATTAGTCGTTAAAAATTAAAGAGCTGGCCAAATGCCCACTATATATGGAAATAGCCAGAGCCAGATAGAAAGTCGAAGGAAATCTAGGTTCAACTACCTTGAATTTTCTCGAACTGAAATGGAGAAACGTAGAGTGTTCTACTGCCAAAACATCTTCACCAAGCGCCTTTGGAGGCTGTTATTAAGGCGAGGATTGGCTGATTTGAGAATATTTATTCTTTCTTCAAACATGGAGGCTCTGGCAAACTTACAGACTATACAAAGGCCTTTGAAGGCTTGTAAGATTGGTGATGTGGAGATATTTTCATCTATAAGGGATTTGTACCATATGGTATGGGTTGTCTCATTAGCCTTATATCAGAGACAGCCATCTATGTTTCTCTTATCGGGGACGTGTGTCAGTATTTTTCTGCTCATTGGGAACAGAGTCTCTAAGTATCTCTTCTTACACACTATATTTATTTCTTGTCAACACTAACACATCTCTGTATCTGTCTAGTCATTGGAAATGTGTTTACTTCTTTAGTTTCGATGTATCTCTCTGTTCATGATGAATACATTATCTAGCACTCAGCAGTGTGTCTTCATTGATAGTCTCAATGGCATAGTATGGCCTTGTCTTACTAACCAATATTTATTAATGTTCCCACTTAGGATAGTCAAAGAAGGTGGGTTTCCTTGGAAGATAGTGGAAGGAGGTGGGTTTCCATGGAGAATTGTTGAAGTAGGTGGGCTTCGATGAAGGATAGTGGAACAAGGTGGGCTTCCATGAAGGATAGTGGAACAAGGTGGGTTCCACATGTAGGATAGTGGAAGGAGGTGGGTTTCTCATGAAGAATATTGAAAGAAGGTGGGTTTCCATGGAGGATAGTGGAAGAAGGTGGGGTTCTCTTTGGAGGATAGTGGAAGGGGGTGGGTTTCCATGGAGGGATAGTGGAAGGAGGTGGGTTTCCATGGACTATACTGGAATGAGGTGGGTTTCCATGGAGGATCGTGGAAGAAGCTGGGATCCCCATGGTAGAGAGGAAGGAGGTGAATTTCCGTGGAGAATTGTGGAAGGAGGTGGGTTTCCATGGACTATACTGAAATGAGGTTGGTTTCCATGCAGGATCGTGA